ACATAGATAGGGAGGGAGGTACGTAGGTAGACAGATAGACCGATCGATCAACGGATGGATAGAAAGATAGAAGGATAGAAAGATAGATAGACAGATAGATAGGTAGGTAGGTAGGTAGGTAGGTAGGTTGATAGATACATAGGAACATGCAGATACATATAGGTACATCTAGACACGTAGATCCACAGAGACATACATAGATAGAAAAGCACTTACACGCATACATGCACATGCACATACGGAAGACATGCAATTCCAGCAGACAAAAAAGTCAATGTTCTGACGAAACCTTAAAATTCGTCAAATCCAGGTTTAAGCCGAGCTATGACTAAACCCTGGACTGCCCAAGTTGGATTGTAAAGCCTGCTAGGACGAAAGCTTAGCCATTTTTGATTCGAATCTCAACCATGCTAGGACGAAAGCTTAAACAATTTAAACTCAAGTTTTAACCTTGTTGCGACGAAACCTGACCGATTTTGATTCGAGTCTGACAGATTTCCATTCGGATCTAAGCAGCACCAAAAAGAGACTCGTCATTCCCAGCTTAGATTTGGCAAGGGGCCTTTAAATCCAAAGTTAAGACACCAACCCAGCCTCCCCTTAGACGAGGGCAGTACATTTTACGCACCTGCTGCTACCGCCAAGCATTAAATGCAGGTCTAAGCCTTCCAGAGAGGAAGCTGAACTCTACAGGCAAAAGGCATCAAGGTTTAGGGTTTAGGGTTTAGGGTTTCGGGTCGAATTTAACTCCTTACTGAATTGGAAATAACCGTAATCAGCGAAACACTGCAACGAGGGTAACCAACTTCCGACAGCAGTAGACTTCCAACTTCGCGCCAGCGTGGGCTTAGGTGTTCTTCGTGGCAGGCTACCCCAGCTAATATAGGGGCCTTAATAATTATCTATAGTATTTGGGGGGTTTCCTTGTTATAATTAGAGTATATAGGGCCCCAAAACCCTATTCTAAATTTTTAAGGCCTATAGTACACCTAAACCCGAATCTCCAAGCCTCCCCCGCTCCCCCCAACTCGTTCAACCCTGAAGCGCGAGGACAAGCCCAAAAGGCCCGAAGTCCTGACCCTAAACCCCTAAACCCCTAAACCCTAAACGCCTCAACCGTTTAGCCTAAACCACTGAACCCCAAAAAGCCCAAACCCCTAAATCCTGAACTTTCTGAGCCCCAGAAGCCCCAAACCTGAAAGGAAGGTACAGCCCTGAAGCCCCAAAAAACCCAAGCCGCCCTGGCTAACTTCAGGACCAGCTGCGGATCATTCTTGGGGCTCACAGCATCCTCGACCTCCTTGTAGGAAGTATATTTAGGGTTGGGCGTTTTTAAGGTTTAGGGTTTAGGTAGGGCAATTTGGGTTTGCAGTTTAGGGTCTTATCGGGCTTTTTGGGGTCCTGGAGAATGGCTTCGGACGATTTCGGGATTGGTTTCAAGCTCCCGAGCCGGTCCCGACTGTGGCATTACCTGATCCGAAGTCTTAAGGCTGCTTGAAAAGAGCCACCCAGCCCACAAAGCACGAAACATCTTAGATGTTCACCAATAGCGCTGTTGGGGCAGATCCCTATAAGCCCAAAGAATCATGTGCTACAGCCATAGCCATGACACCCCGACAGCTGAGCCACACCTTCGCATCCCCAGAAGTGGCCAAATGACCATTACCGCTAACATGCCTCTCTCAAAGCAGGTCAAGCCAAACCCTGCCTGAAACGAACGGAACTTTCCTCAAACCCTAAACCATAAACCCTGTTTCACACGGAACGAGCTTAAAGCCCTAACCATGTACTAGAGAGGTTACTGGGTTGCCATGAGGGGTACTATAGGTTGCAAGAAAGGTTACGCGCCCCTAAGCCCCAGAGAACTCTACACAGCCCTTGCTCAAAATCAGGGAAGCCCCAAACCCTAAAGGCGACACCACGGACCATGAACGATGCCTTGATCAGCTTGCGAAGCTCGTCCTCACGTCCTTGGCGAGCCCAGGGGTTTAGAATTAGGGATTTATGGGTTTATGGATGAGGATTTAAGGTTTGGGGTTCAGGGTTTAGTATACGGTCTAGGATCTAAGGTTTAGGGCCTAAGTGAATCCAAGGAAGCTGACGAAACATTACGTCCAAGACCCTACACCATCTCAATGGTGGGGGCAGGCTCAAGGCCTGACGCTGGACCCTACCGGTATACTGAACCCATACATTGTTGCACCCTTGCTACGTCAACTTAACCTCGGCTCCTAGACAACACTCCTACAAGCAGAGCCTATACCCTAAACCCTGTAACATTGGGGTCTAGGGTTTGAGTATTCCAGCTCGAGATAGTCCACTCGCTGTTCGTTGCTGCATTCAGGGTGAAGAGATGTGAAGAGTTTCTAACAACAAACCCTTGAAGACTCTGAGCCACTCAGCCCGAATCTGAGCAAGCCTAACTCCGTACATCCTTATAACGATGAATCTCGCCCCACCCCCTCCTACGAAAAACAACTCATATATAACCCTCAGCCCAACTCTTTTTTTCACTGCCACGACGGCCAAGGCCACTTTGGGGTGGCAGCGGTGCATGTGTCCTGCTCAGGTGCGTGCAGCTCTGGCTTGGATGGGTAGTAACGGTAGGTAGGCAGGCTGGCAGGTTTGTAATGTAGGGGCCTTAATAGTTAGAATAGGGTTTTGGGGTATGTTATACTATATCTATAATTTGGAACCCCCAAAATATCATTGGTAATTTTTTAGGCCCCTAAAGAAGGCAGGCACCGGAAACCCCAAAAAATATCATTGGTAATTGTTTAGGCCCCTAAAAAAAGCAGGAACCGGAAACCAAAGCCGGGTCCACCTCGGCGGCGTTAGCAGCGGCGGCGCGCTGCCGTGACTTGCTACGGCTCCGTGGCCGACCCCTGGCAAGAATGGCTTCAGATCTAGGGCTTCAGGGCTTTGGGCTTCAGGGCTTCAGGGCTTTGGGCTTCAGGGGTTTTGGGTTTTGGGTTGAGGGTTTGGGGTAGGCTTATCAGGGTTTTACAGGGCTTGACATGGGTTCAGTTGCCTTGGTTCAGGAATTCGAGTTTCAGAGCTTTCGTGCTGTAACGGCTCGGGGTTTTGAGTTTCGCTGTCGGGTTGCATCTTAGAAGTGTGCCCTGAACCTTGCACGTTCGCCGCCCAGGACTGTTTAGCTTTGCTTCCAGGCGTTGTCTTTGGCAGTTGCTGTTTGTGTTTTAGCCTGGTCTAGTTGAAACGGAGTGCTTGTAAAACATCGGGTTCGCTTTTTCAGGTCTTTCTACTGAGGATCGTTCCCACTCAAGCCTTATGCCCTCAAACCCCACACCCTAAATCCTGAAGCCAGCATTCCAGCGAACATCCTCAACCTCACAGCTGCTTAAGTGCGAATTCGGAGCCATGCAACGGATTTCTGGGAGTTTTGGACTTAAATCAGGAACTCCTAGCAAGGAGCCCTAAACATCTGGGGCTCTCTAGGGCCTACATAGCTTGCACCGACTTCAGATCATGACCTCAACTGCCAAGTTCCGAAATCCTCCAGCCCTACCCAGAAAAGAACAAGGGCATCGATGAACAACTCCAGGACCTCACAAAGCGGTTCAAAACAAGCATCAGACCTTGCTGTGAACGAGATACCCTTCTTTATTTGGGGAGGAGATACTATACGGATTCTAGAAGGGTTACTAGAAAGGGCTACCATAAAGGTTCCATCAGGGTCCCGATGACCAACAGAAATCCTGCGCAATGCTGATCCACGAAGGAACGCCAAGACGCCGAAAGCATTGCAAACCACATAACCCTACCTCAAACCTTAATAAGACCATGAACACCAAACCCCAAACTCCCATACTATAGGGGCCTTAATAATTAGAATAAGCTTTTGGGGTTTCTTGTGCTATAATCATAATAAGGAACCCCCCAAAAAGGATTGGTAATCATTTAGGCACCCCCCCCCCATAATAAACCATCAAGCCTGAAACCTACACCCTGAACCCCCAACCCTTGTCGCACCTTGGTCGAGGGTAGTAGGACACAGCGCTACCTGAGGCTCGCCGGGCTTTCAGAGCGCAGGGCTCAGTATCCGAAACCCCTAAACGCTACAGCCTAAACCCTAAACCCCAAGCGCTGAGCCCTGAAGCCTATAAAGCCTCAACCCTTTTCGGGTCGAGATTGAGTCAAGCCTTTACTAAACCCTCGGCCCAGCTGAAACCCTTTTCATGGAACCCCTCAGGCCTCTTATAGCGAAGACCTCTTGAGAAGCGTCCCTTTTCGAACTCGAGCATCGGGGCCTTCATAACTCGAATACGATTTCGGGGTGTGTAAACATGTAAACCAGGCTAGAAAGTTGTAACATTCATGTCCTCGTGCCCTTAGAAGTAGAGCTTCAGGACTCCTAGCACTAATCATCCTAAAAAACCGGGTTCACTGCATGTCGGGGCCACAAGGTTCAAGACCCCCTTATCTTGTGCGAAACCCAAACCGACAAGCTAACTTGACCTTCAGGCCTAAAAACCGAAACCCCAAGAGAGACAACTCCCTGCAGAACCATGTGCAGAAACCTAAACCCCAAGTACTGATCCCCAAACATAAAATCCCACAGCCTAACAACTCCAAGCAATGGAGCCTTTCTGCGTCATTCTAGCGAAGACCCAGAACCCTAAACCTTAACTCAAAACCCTGAACCCTAAACCCCTAAACCCTAAACCCTAAACCCTAAACCCCAAACCCTAAACCCTAACCCAGAACCCAGAGCACCTATATTCAACCCCAACTCAACCTCGTAAGCACCTGCAACGAAAAACACACAAACATAGAAGCATTAAAAATAACCTATACTAAGGGGCTCCTCATTTATTTAGAGTAGAATGTACCTCAAGACCCTATTCTAATCATTAAGGCCCCTACACTGCTACACTACCTATACAACTCATAGAGGCACCCCTACAGGAAGCCTCTCCGACCCCAAATCCTGAACCCCACCCCTGTAGAACTCTAAACTCCCAAGCCTCCCCCCCTAAACCCTACACCCTGAAGCCCGAAATCCTATAGGGTTTAAGGTTTAGGCATTTTAGCCCAAAACCGAAATCCTAAACCCCTAAACCAGCACGTGGAAGGGCATGGCCTTGCTTTTCCTGCGGCAGCTCACCGAGCACGGCTGCGGCGTTCCTCCGCGGCGGAGCGCCGATGGCCATGGGCCAGTCCTGGCAAAAGAGGTTTAGAGTTCAACGTTTAGGTTCATGGGTTTCTACAAAACTGTCTACGGTTTCTGTAGGATTTCTAACACTTTTGCATGGTACTTTTTTGTGGTGGAGGGCTTCATAAGGCTTTCTGTAAGGGCTCAGGGATTGGGGTCTTGGGCTTTATGGATTCCGAAAGCATGAGGTTAGAGTTTGGTATTCCACGGTTTCGGGGCTTTCGGGTTACGGCTATGGGTTTCATGACTCGGGTTTCATAGAGTTTTGAAAAGTCCTTCTGGGGAACACTGCAGGGTTTTTCAACTTTGGGGCTTTCGGGTTGTAGGGTTTAGGGTTTGGAGGCTGTAAGGTTTAGGCCTCAGGGGTTGTAGGGTTTAGGGTTTGGGGGTTGTAGGGTTATTCTGTCGTTAAAGGTTGTCCGGTTTGCTATTGTGCAAGGCGAGTGTGGTTCTGAGCAAGGCTCAGTGCGTCGCATGAAGGTACCCTTAGCAAGGGGCCGGACAGGTTTTGGTTTGAGAGGTTGAGACGAGTGGCACAGGCAATTCTATCGAGCGGAGCTTTGTCAGTTGTTCTGAGTCAAAGGAGGGGTCTTAGACCACAAACTGCACTTACCCTGCAGCCTAAGCTCCGTTTTCCAAAAACCCGACGTGTGGCAACCTCCCCCCCCCCCCTGAAAGCTCTTTAGACCGCAAAGCCTGAACCCTCGAGAGCCTAGGCTCTCAAAACCCAAATTCCCAAAACAAAGCCTCGACCCTAAACCCCAACATCCTAAACCCAACACCCCTCATCCCCCACAAGAAACCCATAGATCCTCAGCCCCAAACCCGATTTACCCCAAGCCCTCTACCCCTCAACCCCTAAACGCTACTCCTCAACTCCGCGAGACAAAGCGACCCTGGTAGGCTGCGGCTGGGCAGGCGCCCGGGGAAGCCTAAGTCAGAGAGATTTTTTTTAGGGCCCACTTGTTACGGGTGAAACAGTGGCCTTAAACTGAATAATGATAACACCAATAACAATAGCACTTGTAGCAATAAAAGCAACAACACAGTAAATACTACCACAGCGACGACAACAACTTCTCATAATCATTATGACAATAATCATACGTAGAATAGTAATAATAATCAGACTAAGTACAGTACCAATCAGAATGCTACTGCTACTTCTGCTACTACTGCTACTACTGCTACTGCTACTGCTACTGCTGCTGCTGCTGCTACTGCTACTGCTACTGCTACTACTAGTGCTACTGCTACTAC